GATATTTTGCCCACCACCTCCAAATTGGGCTGTAATGGAGGGAAAATGAACTCCTACTGAAAAGAATATTTCACAGAGATAATTTTACCATTCTATCAAGATAATATCCAAGGGATGAAATAACATGTCAGGTTTTTTATGTAAATTTATATATATTCACGTACATTCCATTCATTTTATTAAACTTTTCCAAATAGTATAAAATAAGTTCCCATTGGTTTCACTTACTAAATTCCCTAATAAGTTTTGCATAATATTGTTATCTTAACTTCCCTTATCCTATATTCACTAACTTTCCTTCACTAGAGACAAATCCAAACAAGCCCTTAGAAAAGGGTAACCCATTAACCTGTTTAAAAATTGGGTCAGATCGTATAAAAGTCGGGTAGGTTACATATTTGGTTTTTTATTTTTTGGTAATACCATAACCCCCCCCCCCAAACTTTGGACAATTATAAAAAAATCCCCTTAACTTCCAAAATATCATAAAACACCCTTAATATAGGGATTATCACAAAAAAATCCCTTTAGCTTTCTGATTTTATCAGAAAACGACCTTTAACTTTCACATTTATCAGGAAACTCCCTGATATAATATCAAACTAAAAGGGGGTTTCCTGGTAACCCTAAACTCAAGGGGGTTTTCTAATATTTTGAATGTGTGTGTGGGGGGTTGGGGGGGTGCTTTCTGATGATCATCCAAAGTTGGGGGGTTTTATGATATTTAGCCCTTTTTTCCCTTCGAAATGAAATAAAACAACAACCCACCATGATTTTTGGTCCTGCCTGATCTAGCCCGAAAACAACGTAAAACTAGTATCAAGCCCATCACAAGGACTTTTAGGATTTTATTTGGGTTTTCTCGATATTGATCCCTTTAATCCTTTAGTGATGTTTTGGAATTAGTGCTTCAAATAATTGAAGTTACAGTTTAGTCCCTCAATTCCTACTAATTATCTCAAATTATTAACTCCTGCCGTTAGTTAGGGGAAATTGCTTTTCGCTATGTTTTCAGTTATACCCTTTCGTTTAAGTTAATCCAAACCTTAACCTTCACTTATGCACAAGACCTATTTGATTTTCAGTTATACCCTTTCGTTTAAGTTAATCCAAACCTTAACCTTCACTTATGCACAAGACCTATTTGAATCCAAACTCATTTTATTCTTCTTTCTTCCTCCAAACCTTAACCTTCACTTATGCACAAGACCTATTTGAATCCAAACTCATTTTATTCTTCTTTCTTCCTCATATTGCTTCCCCTAACCCACTTTTATAATTGCTATCTCCTCTCAATTCTATTTTTATAGGTATTTCCATAAATTAATTTGTAACTTTAAATATTAAGATGTCATTTGGGAATGGGTTAATGTGAGGTTAAGGAGAGTTAATTTCTCCTCAACCTCCTAAACACAAAAAAAAATATATACAAGGAATAAAGTAAATCAACCATCTATAGGTCCAAACACAAAAAATGCTAGAGGGTTTGCTAGAGTTTTTGTAAAAGTTTTTTCCCCCAAAACCTTGACTAAGTTTCAAACTACATATATATTATATCATGTATTTTGATAACAAAAACACAATATAGCCCAGCGGTCAAAAGTTTTTTTAACAACTCAAAGGCCATAGGTTTGAGGCTTGCCCTCAACTCTTTTTATCTAATAATTCCTCATAAGGTTGGACTAGGACTAGGACTCGGTTAGACCCGTGCTTAGACTCTGTCAGAATCAGACCTGAACTCAGACTTGGATCCAGACTCGAACTCGGACTCAGACTGAGTTGCAATAAGTGATTTCAGGTTCCCTTGGGATATTTTTTATTATAGTCTGACTCAAAGGCGCCTTTCGACTTGAACTTGGACTTGTTGTTTGATGGAGTCCGCGTCAAATTCGCCTTTCTACTTGGACTTGTTGGAGGAGTTGGCCTAGAAAACATGATACAGGAGATCAAGCAACATATTAGTCGACTACTTGATGAGTTAGTCGACTAATTTGTGTTGACAGAAAGTTAGGATTTTATAGGAACTTGGATTAGTCGACTACTTGATGAGTTAATCGAGTAATCTGTGTTGACTGAAAGTCAGGATTTTGCAGGAACTTGGATTAGTCGACTACTTGATGAGTTAGTCGACTAATCCGCAGTCAGGGTCAAAATAGGATTTGTTTTTTTTTTGGTTATTTTTTTCTTTTGGGATTAAGTTATCTTTTTGATTAGGAAAGGTTTAGTTGGCTATAAATTGGTTCCTTTTTGTAAATCAGAATAATTGATTACTATATTGAATTAAGAGTAATCTCTCCATTGTTTTCTTCCCCAAACTTGGGAGAATTAAGGCTTATGGATTCAAGCTTGTTATCTACCTGCAATTGTCAGGACTCGTCGGCATCAGAACGATATCCGATAGGCCTTTCTGTTTCTACGTCTGCATCAAGTGGTATCAGAGCTTTGGCTTTAACATCCTCGATAATGGCAGGTGACGGTAAGAAAGAACTTTCTCTACAGGATCTTTCTGCGAGGATGGATTCTATAGATTGAAGATTTGGCAAGTTGGAGGCGTCTCTTCAGAACCTTCAATGAGCCATCGAAGGGCTCACCCTTCACCTCAACAACGAGAATAATTTCGTCGGCGGTCTTCACCTAAGCGGACCCGGAGTTGGGCCACCATAACATCCACCCCCGTACAATCCTCAACCCCCTCCAGTTCATCCCCCTCCTTATCAACCACGAACAAACCAACCACCTCCATATCAACCTCCTCCATATCAACCCCCTCCACATCATCAACGTCATCCCAACCAACCCCTCTCCCATGATGATTCCGTTGAAGAAGGAACAGACTATGATACCCAATTTGATGGGCCATAGTACGACAATGTCTCGAGTGAAGAAGAAGGAGGGCGACCTTATGGCAGAGGTCGGGGTAGAGGTTTCAACCCTCATTGCAACTACCACCGACAAGGAAAACATCATCAAAAACCAAGAGTACCGAATGAAGGTAGCTCCCTTCCTTTGGGGAAAATATTAATATAGAGGCTTTCTTGGATTGGCTCTATAAAGTGGAGAAGTTCTTTGAGATGACTAATGTGCCCGAAGCAAACCATGTGAAATTTGTGGCATATCATCTCAAAGGAGGAGCCGCAGCATGGTGGGATCAAACTTAGAATGCTAGAAGACGACAAGGCAAACAACCGGTGCGGGATTGGCGTCTTATGAAGCAACTATTACAAGCAAGGTTCCTACCACCCGACTATCAACAAATTCTCTACAACCAATTTGAGCAGTGCCAATAAGGGGTCAGATCAGTAAGTGCATATACCGAAGAATTCTTCCGTCTTACCTCACGTTGCGATTTGTCTATGAGCGAGGAACAACTTGCAGCCAAGTATATCGGTGGCTTGAAGTATTCGATTCAAGAGAAGGTGACTATCCACAATGTGTATTATATTGATGAGGCCCACAATATGTCCCTAAAGACGGAGAGGTTGGCCTCCAGGACACTACCCTTCAAGCAACAGGATCGGGGAAATTCAGTTGAGAAAACAAGAGGTGAGTCAGCAGAACAAAGGACGACTGATCAACCTATTCCTCCACGGTCGACCAAGCGGTCAACCAATCAACCACCACCAACAACTACTCAATCCAATCAGTATGCGAAGCCGACCGTAGGGAAGTGTTTCCGATGTCTCCAACCGGGTCATAAGTCCAACGAGTGCCCGCAACGGTGGAAGATCAATCTTATGGATTATGAAGAAGTTGTGGATGGACAATCAACATCTGAAGAGTATGAAGAAGAGGTTGCCGAAGTTGAAGGCGACAATGTGTCATGTGTTGTTCAATGACTCCTATGCGCTCAGAAAGCGCCAGATTCATCATAACGGTATCAAATCTTCTTTTCTAGATGTTCAGTCAACAATAAGGTGTGCACCCTCATCATTGACAATGGATGCTGCGAGAATATTGTGTCAAAGGCTTTGGTGGATCACTTGAAGCTACCAACGGAAACAATGCCCACACCATATACTATAGGATGGATCAAAAAGGGTCCTTCTGTTAAGGTGACCGAATTATGTTACGTGCCACTATCACCAGGAAAGACATATCATGACTCTATTATTTGTGATATTGTGGATATGGATGCATGCCATGTATTGTTAGGGTGGTCGTGGCAGTATGATGTCAATGCTACACATGGCGGCAAGAAGAATGAGTATTCTTTCGTATGGAAGAATAAGAAGATCATCCTACCTCCTATTCCACCCTCTCCAAAGAACCCCAAAGATCAAAAGCCCAAACGGATATCTCTTTGCAACAAGGGTGAATTTCTGACAGAGTCAAAGGAGTTAAAGCAAAGGTTTGCATTAGTTGTGAAGGAAGAAGTGAATACAATATTGGAGGTTCCAAAGAAGATGAAGTCACTGCTTACGGAATTTGAAGTATTGGTTCCTGAAGAGTTGCCAGAGGGACTTCCTCCCATGAGGGATATACAGCACCACATCAATTTCATACCGGGTTCGGTACTTCCTAATCTCCCTCATTATCGTATGAACCCACAAAAAAGAAGGTCCTACAGATCAGTTAGGAGGTGCGAGCATCTTTTTGATGGTTGATTTGAGGAGTGAGCATCATCAAATTTGAATCAGGCCAGGTGATGAGTGGAAGACTGCATTCAAAAGTAGTGAGAGCCTCTACGAATGGTTGGTGATGCACTTTGGTTTATCTAACGCTCCAAGCACCTTTATGCGTTTGATGAACCAAAATTTGAAGCCTTTCTTGGGAAGATTCATGGTGGTCCACTTTGATGATATTCTGATGATATTCTCATCTATAGTCAGGATGAGAAGGAGCATATGTCACATCTACGAGAGGTTTTCCAAGTGCTAAAGGAGAATGAGCTTTACATAAACCTTAAGAAGTGTGTGTTCTTGACTACTCAGCTGATATTCTTAGGATTCGTGGTAAGCTCGCATGGGATCTAGGTAGATGAAGATAAAGTCAAGGCAATTAGGGATTTGCCAGTTCCAAAGAGTGCTACTGAAGTAAGAAGCTTTCATGGATTTGCATCTTTTTATAGGCGTTTCATTCGTAACTTCAGTTCTATAGTTGCTCCTATGATGGATTGCTTGAAGAAGAAGGGCACTTTTGAGTGAACTGATGAGGCAAATGCTGCTTTTGCCCTTATCAAGGAGAAGATTACTACTGCTCCCATATTAGCATTTCCAGATTTCGACAAGCACTTTGAGCTTGAGTGTGATGCGTGTGGTGTAGGTATTAGAGAAATACTCTCTCAAGAGAAGCGCCCCTTTGCTTTCTTGAGCGAGAAACTGAATGAAGCTCGGCAGAAGTGGAGTACTTATAAACAAGAATTATATGCTGTTTTTCATTCTTTGAAGACTTGAGAGAGTTACCTCATTGCTAACGACTTTATGATTTACTCCGATCATCAGTCTCTTCAACACTTCAAGAATCAAAAGCATATCAACAAAATGCATGGACGATGGGCTTCATATTTTGAACTGTTCAATTTTACTTTGTGACATAAGTCAGGAGTTGACAATAAAGTGCCTGATGCTTTGAGTCGAAGAGTATCTTTATTGAGCATATTGCGAGGTGAGGTTGTTGCTTTTGACTGATTAAAGGAGCTTTATGTTGATGATGAAGACTTTCAGGAGGTTTGGGCAAAGTTTTTGACAAGGCAACCTACGTGAGACATTTTCATCATGGACGGTTTTCTATTCAAGGGAAATCGGGTTGTGTTCCAAGGACGTCATTGAGAGAGAAGGTAATTCAAGACTTTCATGGGGGCGGGCTTGATGGCCATTTTTGGCGAGACAAGACTATTTTGAGTCTTGAGGAGAGGTACTATTGGCCAAGTTTGAGAAAAGATGTAGCAACACTTGTGAGGAGCTATCAAGTGTGCCAAGTTGCAAAGGCGCAAGTGTAGAATACTGATATGTATACTGCTTTACCCGTACCCAAGGATATATGGGAGGATTTGAGTATGGATTTTGTGTTGGGACTTTCCCGAACACAAAGAGGTGTTGATTTAGTCTTTGTGGTAGTGGATCGTTTTTCTAAGATGGCTCACTTCATTCCATGCTGCAAGACTTCAGACACACCACATGTTACACGGCTATTCTTTCAAGAAGTGGTTAGACTACATGGTGTTCCTAGTTCGATTGTTTCGGATAGGGATACTAAGTTCTTGGTGACTTTTTGGACTACTCTATGGCGACGATTTGACACTTCATTGAAGTATTCTAATACAGCCCACCCTCAAACGGATGGACAAACGGAAGTGGTCAATCGAACTTTGGGAAACTTGACTCGATGCATATGTGGAGAGAAGCAAAAAATGTAGGATCAAGCTATACCTCAAGCCAAATTCGCCTACAACATGACTATTCATAGCTCAACAGGTATGTCTCCCTTTTCTATCATTTATAGGAATACACCTTGACATCTCCAAGTTTTGGTGAAACTACCAACAAGTGGCAAGTTCACCGAAGCAGCAAGTTCCATGGCGGAGAATGCTCTCAACATTCAAGAGGAAGTGCGTGCAAAGCTTGAGAAAGCCAATGCAAAGTTTAAGGCTCGAGCGAACAAGAAGAGGCGATTCAAGGTGTTCAATGAAGGAGACATGGTGATGGTGTACCTGCGGAAGGAACGGATACCGGCTGGAACATATAGCAAGCTTAAGCCAAAAAGATATGGACCGTTCAAGATCCTTAAGAAGATCAACGATAATGCATATGTAGTGGATCTTCCAGAGGGGGTGGCTATGTCACGTCATTCAGGAGATTCCTGAGGAACAGATAGTCCCATATGTTCCACCACCAGCAGTGCAACAATCGCCAGCCACCGGTAGGGTATATGTAATCGTACCACGTGATCATGGTACGAGCGGGGCCATAGTGGAAGGTACTTTCTTAGTGAATTCCTTCCCAGCTTGGATCTTGTTCGATTCAGGAGCTTCGTATTCCTTTATCTCTCATACCTTTATGGATATGCTCCAGTTGGTCGCACATCCTTTAGATGTACTGTTATCCATCTCTACTCCTTTAGGAGAGTGTAGGTGTTAAAAATTGTCTATAGGTTCCCACACATAGCTCAAGATAGAGAGAAGATGATGAGTGTCATTATCCAAGGCAAAGAGGATTATTTGACATCGGCAAGTGCATGAAGCAAGTCGACGAAACATACGAATTAACGGGACGATAGAATATGAAAAACGAACCGATCGGAATTACATTTCACACACAGAGGCGAAGCACCACTCGTGTCTCATCCTCTCCACATATGATTCAATCATGGGAGGTTGTAGGTATCTTCCCCAGTTTTCTGACACATTTTGAATCACGTCATTCCGAGATCGGATGAGAAAACTATAGCGAAAACAGTCAAGGTGCGCAAAACGGCCCCTTGGTCAAAAACCGAGACACAAGGAGTGTCTCAGCCAGCCGAGACACTCTCTGTGTCTCAGCCAGCTGAGACACGAAGGCTGTCTCAGGCCCATTTTTGCTGTTTTTTCATTGTTTCTTCGATGGAAGGCTGTCTTAGGCCTATTTTTGCTATTTTTTTGTCGTTTCTTTGATGTTAACTACCCCAATTCTGATCCAAAGCCTCTTCAACTAATTTGGAGTTATCCTTGAATGTGATTAAGTGATTACAACTAAGGATAAGATCAAATCATTCGTTCTTATCCGAAAACTAAGCTTCTGAAGCCTATAAATACAGCCTTAGGGCCTTCACTTGCACAGATCCGGAATTCTCGAGCATCGGTGAAGCCCTGTCGAACTGAAGAGTGAGGAGCACAAATTTCAGAGAGGAGAAAGAGATCTCGGTGAGCTATTCAGCATAAAGAGGAAGAGTTTAAGAGATCTGCATCCATTAATCCATTTTCTTAAGATCGTACCTAGCTGCGATTCTCGAGAAGAGTGATTATCTCGCTTAGCTGAGATAGTTACTTTAATTTCTTGTTTCCTTTGTGAGGCAACTAAATCTATATTGGATCTAATCAGTCGGTGGTCCACGGATAAACTCCGACACATGCAAAGATGCTACACAAACAGAGACTATCAAATAGGATTTGTGTATTGTTTGACAAAGTTGTAATCTTTTATTTTTCATTGTGTAAGAAGATCTTATAAAAAAGATAAACTTTTTTATTTTTTGAATTTGTAATTGATAAACGATTGTAACAGGTTCAATGATAATGAAAATGATAACTTTCACCCCAAATACGCTGGCGACTATAGTGGGAGCCAACAGCCTTGCTGCCGAGGCTATCGTGCCGCAGCCGCTGATCAAGATTCTGGTGGATGAAGAGGTCGAGTATGAATTCGACCAATAGAAGTTTGAGGAGTACGTCTCCTCCTCCTCCTCCAGACCTTCCTCTCCATGCAAGCCCAGGAAGACCACTTCCGTGAAGAAGGTTAATCGACTTTCAGATCTGAAAACTCAGGGTGATAATCTTCACCCAAGAGCTATTGAAGACTCCTCTTCAGCCTCCAAGATAGTCGGATCTGACATTTGTGACAACTCCTCAAAGGTTAAGGAGTTGCCCGTCAAAGGAGCACCGGTGCCAATGTCTCCCTCGCCAATTCGCCAAAGCTTTGGAGTAGGTGGATGGACTCCGCTACCAAGTAGATCTAGAGTTTAGAAGGCACCAAGTGGCTAAGCTACAGCTGCAGCAAGCATCGGGATCCTCCTTCCGACTCACAAATGGGTTCATGTCAAATGAACCCGTTCTACTCTCGAAGAGCGCATCCAGAAGCACCATGCACTTCTTGAGCATGTCCGGATCCTTATGCGAAAGGCATAAGAACTGCAAAAAGAAGAGGTGGTCAAAGAATCACCAAGATCTAAGTAGGTTTGGGTGCCAAAGCCTAAGACAGCGCCTAAAACTGCACTAATGATAGTTAATGCACCTCTTCTTGACAAGAGACCTCAGTCATGTCTCTCACTCAGTACAACCTCTAAGGCTGCTCCCCAACCTTAATCAAATTTAGATCTTACTCCTCCTGCTTTCGAACCTTTGGTGAAGCCCTACGGCAGTGTGGATCTCTCTAAATTTAGAATTCTGTTGAAGGATCCCCTAGGTCCTCTACATGAAGATCGGGGAAAAACTCTTGTTAAGGAACGCTTGGAACCAACAAACAAATCCTGAGCGATTCTTCAAACTGGGGGTCGTGCATGACCTCCCAACAAGACTATTCCTATGACTATCCGTTTGGGGGTGCATGCAGAAGACCAGAAGCCCATTAGTGTTTCACCCTTACAAAGTTGTGATTCCAAACGAGTGACTCTTGCGAACGTCAACAAGACGTTACCTAATCAGAAGAAGATGCGTCCGATAGACGACAGCGTTATACTTGAAAGAACAAATGAACAACCGATAGGTTTCTCTGGCTACAATACCGACGAGTTGTACTATCAGACTGTGGGTAAGTCTCGAAAGAGAAATACCCAAGAACAGACTCCACTGTCCTTGTGAGAGATTAATCAGGGTAGTATTATCAGGATATAGCTGTCCTAGGACCACTCCATGGAGGGTCTCTATATTCGAAAGGATCTCATTTGAAGCGTCCAAACCTAAACCAAGATGCTTCTGTAAAAGAAGATCAGCTGGTTAGGGTAGCGAACTCCCAGAAGTCACCATTAACATGACCGATAAAGGGAAGTCAATGCGACGTTCCAGTCCCGAACCTTTCCCCGGAGCATCTCAGCGTCTCACTTGGCTACGGTCTGGGACTGTTAGACCTAGAGCGAGTAGAGGATGATCCTCGGATGATGAGACATCAGATACATGCTCCGCAATTAGCTCTGATAACACTGTGTCTAGTATGGGGTGATCTCAAGAAGCATTCATGATCACTACTAAGCAGATGGCCCAGCTCCTTCAAGAAGCCTTGGCTAAACAGAAGGAGGACTTCAAAATCGAGATGGAGATGTTCATACAATGGGTCAAGGAATTACACACCCAGCAGATTCAAGAGTTGTCAAATCAGCATGGTGAATCTAGTCTTTGCCACGCTACCAATTAGGTAGATAGCGACTCAGAGGTAGAGGAGAACATCAATGTCGATACTCCTTCCGATGATAAAAATGCTAAGGGATGGCCCCAACACTAGGGGTGGCCCCACTAATAATACTAACACTGGGGGTGGCTCCACCGTTCCTCTTTAAAGTCGCTCGAAGAAAGATACAGGTGAAGATCTAATGATGAAAGAGCTCGAGAGCAAGATCAATGCTCTGATGTCTGCTCAAGAGGTAAAGAAGACCGACATTCCATGTCCTTATTTGAGAGAGTGTTAATCGATTCTGTATCTGGTGAAGTTCAACCTGATTAACTTCACACCGTTCGACGTAAAGGGTTAGCCCACTCAACACCTGATTT